CGGGGGCGCGCGGCGCGGCGGGGGCGCGGGGCGCGAGCTCGGCGTCACTGATGGGTGCGTATGACGCGGCGCGCTGCTTGAGGCCGCCGCCGGTCTCTTCCAACAAGCTAGGGACGGAAAGAGTTTCTTCGCTACGAGTCTTCTGTATTTCTACTTTATCTGTAAAAGAATGTATTTCATAATGAGTTATTTCGATCCAAAATGTTCACGTAAATTGCATAACAATGTCGACAATATACGAGGCGTAGAGACCGAAGGTGTCCGCGGCGGGCGCGCGCGGGCCGCGCGGGCGGTGCAGCGAGAGCGCGTCCATGCGGCGGCGCAGGTCGAGCATCTTGCCCATGGTGACGGCGTTGTCGCGCAGCGCGCGCGGGCCGCCGAGCGCGCGCGCGGCGGTGGCCATGCCCACGACGGGGCTGAAGTCTTCGATCTCGCGCTCCAGCAGCTGCGTCAGTGTCGGGGAATTTGCATCTAATGGACAAATACACCTGGTTCACTAACCAATTTTTTCTATAGTTTTCTTAAAGTTTATACTTTATGCTTAGTTCTTTACAAAGTAACTGCTATTTGAGAAAGTGTCAACCTGTGTAATGTGTGATTTGATCTTTATTGTGTTTATTATTTAGTCTTTGTTATAGTCGAGTCTACATCCATAAAGTACAAAGAAAGTGTAAGTTGATTTTTAAGTATAACTTAAGAAAGCCAGAAAAGTGTGAATACATACAGAGCTTCGAGTGTTCGAGGGGCGAGTAGGTCCCGTCGTGGTTCTCCTTGACGCGAAGCATGTTGACGCGCTCTCCGTCGCGGAACACTAGTACTGTCACCTTGCATCCACTGCTGCCCCATTCCACGTCCTCTCTGGAAACACGACTACACACATCATTATTAAAAAAGAATATAAGTACGTAAAAACTTCAAGTAATAAGTAAATACTTTAGATATCATTGATGGAAGTGTAATCATGTAATTCGCGTTATTCCATTAGTGTACACTCTTCTTCAAGTTTTACACTAACCATTATATGACTGGATAGTTAGGAATTGATCAATGTATGTGTGTGAAACAGCCATTTGATTGATTCCAATAACAAGTAACCGTCAAGTAATACCAGGAAATATTGATTTATGGATAAAAGGCCCCAGCACAGCATAGTTTTTAGTTAGTATAGTAAGAGTGTAGACATTAAATTTGAATCACATTTAGGGAAACTGGAGTCATTTGATGAGGTTTCATTGAAAAAAGAGGACTTGTAGTATTCGATGTAAGGCTAGGTGATCATGGCAAGCTGGTCATGTGTTTCTCACCTGTTGGTATCGAGCAGGCGTTCGATGTCCCTCCAGGGCTCGGTGTTGGGCGGCGGCGGCAGGCGGCGGGTGGAGATAGGCCCGCCGCGCATGCCCAGTACCAGCCGCAGCCGCGCGCCGTCCCCGATGGCATGCTCGCGGAGACACGACGAGTCCTCCAACTCCTTGAGATTGTATAGCAAATGCTGCTGGGACACCGGGATACCTGCAACATTTTAACAACGTACGTTGGGAAAGATTTCTTTAGGACTTTGTAAAGAGATCATGGCAAAAATGGATATGAAATTTATTGTATGTAGTTTAAATAAAAGGTGTTTTATAATCTAATGCAGTGGTGGGCAAGATTTCTTTGGGGCGGTCAAACTTCTAAATATTGCTTTTGACTAAGTCTTTCTTTACCCTGGTCCACAGCCTAAAGAACTGCTCAGCTACGTAGTTCCCACTCGGATGACGAGAAGTAAAAATCAAATTCAGATGCTGTTACAAACACCATATATCCGAATAAACATTGACTTTTTACGAAAACTTTTGAAACTACGAATACAAAATTAGGTGTATACCTTTTCAATTATGTATGAACGAGCAGAACTGTACATAATCGGTACAGTGTGTGGTACTGTGGTTACGTCACTTGTAAAAATGACACGTGCGACATAATAGTGTCTCAACGAATTTGGCAATGAGTTTATACAAGTATAGCATCTGATAAGTGGCGGCGACTGTCCGTGAATCATGTGCTTGGAGGAAGGCCAAGCGAAAATACTCCTGTCACCATGCAGGAATCCAATATTTAGTATTTACTTTCTTTGTGATGTACAACAATTACATCATGTTATTGTGGCTTGTAGCGTTTTCCTGTTGAGGGCACACAATGTGTGCAACAAAATGCAGTAGTAAACTAAGTTACACTTTGTTAGTGAAATTCTGACTTCTGACCTCAGTCGAATGATCGTTTTCACACACCTATCCTAAATTTTAAGTAATGCCTAAGGTGCTCCCTCATGCTCAGTAATTCTTAGTTAGGTGATGGTTTAGGCATGGTTGGTAAAAACGGTCATAAGTTATGTGTGTTGTCCAAAAATTATAGAGTTTTTCTCACACGTATTAGGAATCCCTATAGGTCCTCATTATATGCTTACATACATGTTAGTTTCTTTATGTTGCTTAGGTAATGTCTATCAGTCAGTTAAAAATACTCTAACATGGTTCACTTATTATGAAAATCAATTTATTTATATAAAATAGCACAGCTATTTTTACTTCACATAAACAATCTATATCTAAATAACTATGACCAATTCGCAACCTAGATACATCTATCATTTGGAACGGCTGTCAAGTTAAGCTTTGATATTGAAGTTGATGGATTACTTCAAGAAAACATTCTTGGATATTTCTAGAAGAAACCGAAACTGAACTCTTGAACAATACGTCGTATAGTTGATAGCAGAACATTAATTAGTGACGTGAAGACTTAGTTACAGTTGCGTCACGGAGTTTAATACACGTGTCGTTACGTCCTCGCAGTCGTCACGCTACAAGGAAAGAAATGTGCGGAAATAACTAAAGGAGATCCTTCTGAGACAGACTACCTTGAGTTTGATAAGGTCCTAGTTGCTCCAATAGGAGAGCACCAATAAGTCTGGCCACAACACTACTTCCCACTAACTAAATATTTTGTTGAATGATGCTATGGCGTAAGTAGTGAGTTATAAATAACATCACACCTGTTATTTTTATAGTACCTAGGTACCATTATTAAACAGTCTACTGCAAATATAACAACTAACAAAAGGCTTATGGAACCAAAACTGGGCTGCGGCTGAAATCGCTACACAAAAGCATTGTTTCAGGGTATTCACCGCATATATTGTGCGCAACCAATACTCAGCTTATTATTTTCAGACGCTGAACGTATCAATACAGGTGCTCTCATACAAACAAATACATTTGAATCGGCAAACATTAAACCGAATCAACCCGATTTCCGAATGCGTGCGGCAATAAATCAATCGTGATAAAACGATATGAGTGCAGGCAGCGCACATAACATATCTCACGGCAATCGTTCTGGCACCACATCAAAGATTCCAAAGTCGTGTAAACCCCGTTGACCTGCGCGGAACAACCGCCCGTGTGAACACACCTTTATACCTTAAAATAGTATTCAGCTGTTTGAGTAAACTTGCTATGAAATAATCTGTCATTCTCCAAGGTCTCTTCAATATTTTAATAGAAAAAAAATTTTAGAGTCATCACAATAGCGCGATATATTTTATCAGATGTTGGTGCATCATAAAACGAGGACACCAAGTGAATAAACGTCTATTTTCGAAAATACTTGACTCACTAAAACGGAGACCTAGAAAAACAGATTCTGAAGCTGTTATCTTTAATTTGTATTATTAGATTTGCTCATTGCTCAGTAGGAGTGGGACGAAGAGATTGATGGTAATTTAGATTGACATTTAAGATGTTAAAAAATGTCCTCTATTTTATATGAAATCAGTTTTAATTCAGTGACCTTGTCATGATTAATACATAGACAGGAGACTGTTTCAAAGTTTTCGCTGAAATTGCTCAGTGTCAACCTTGACTTCAATTCCCCAGTTTAGTGGTATAAAATCAGGTGTAACACTTTTACAGCACATTTTACCAAATGTTAATTGTTTTCATTAGGTTAATGGTGTTGGATTAAATTAGAAACATGGAAAGAGTATTTATCAAACATAGTGGTAACAAAAATCTTGCGATAAGATGTGTATTTATTTTTCCTCTTGCAGGATAGGCAACTGTGTTTCTGACAATAGATAAAAAAATTCCTGAGTGTATAACACTCCACTATAAAGTTATAATCATGTATCTGATTGATTTAAAGCATTAAAATGTGAATATGTATGAGTTATTATGATAAATAATGTTTCTTTGTTTTCTTCTGCTTGCCTGTATGCCAGGTGCACTCTGATCAGTACAATACAATTATTGTTTTATTCAATGAAATGAATAAAGTTCCTTTTTATTCATTTCACATCTAGGCCTTTGTTTGCTGTCATCTTCTAGCAATGTTTGAAATAATGACTCTCTTACTATGTATACAAGTTATTGTCTGTACCAAATAATACTTTTTAACAAGATATTCTTACTAATATCATATTGTTTTTTTCATGTCACAATGGAACATTCTTTTTCAACAGTTATTTCTCCAAATATAAAAATCATCCGGAGGCTTTTCCTTTGACCATATCTATGTCAATGTTGTGGATAACAAGTGGTCTATCGTATAGTTAATATGAATATTATAGATGAGAAGAATTTGTTTGTTTGAATACATTAATCTCTAGTTTACATTATATCATGGCATGGTATAATACATCATTCTATGATCAATAGGAGATAGGCAGTGGGTATAACCAAGCAAGAGATACTAGGAAATAACACAGGGAGTGTGTTATTCACAATAACAGTGAATGTCCTTCTAATGAAGAAGGAAGTCAGATAACAAAGGAATTTCATTGTAAAGATAAAAACAAAAGTTTTGTCAACTTTTTTCCTCCCAAGGTGAGACCTTTGTTGAGTTTCATGAGCATATTCACAACAACATTTTGAATGAGTATTTATTAAGTGAGTGCATCACTTATTCTTTATATTTTTAGTAATCCCCTTTGATACTGACAATTATTAGTAAACCTCTTTCCTGATTTTAACCCATGCATTCCAAGAATTTAAAGTAACTCATCATAATCAGTTTTGGGAACATGTATCCATAATTGTTTGCATCTTAAGTGTCATTAGAACTAAAAATAATATTTAGTTACAATGTCTTTGTCTATTAATTCTGTGTAAACAATAAATAGCAGTTTATTGGTCACAGATGAAGTAAGACATCAAACATTTGTACTAACATAAGATATTTTAAGATTTTTACATAGTCACCTGGGGTTTTCTAAACCCTTTATGACAAGGGAAACTATACCCAAAACATACCACATACCATATTTTGGTAATAATAAGTAAGTAAGAAGTAAAGGTGTACAACACTCATTTGTTTTGAACTTCCACAAGTGATTCACAATTTGAAAAACAGGATGTTGATTAACAGGTATTTGTTTTTATGCATATTTTTCAGAATGTATTATGGAATGATTCATGGGAACCAGCTGCAATTCATAAATTATTTAATTTACTAGACATTTAATTTCGAAATATTGTATGGTGTATGAACTAGGTTGACTAGTTAGTTAGTGATTGAGTACTTAATAAGGTTTTGTCAAATATAAATATTAAAATATTTGCAGTAACAACATAAAAACATGCTTAGTAATGTTCACAAATGACTTGTAATCATGTACCATAAACATTGAACTTGCATTTCATATAAATATTAGTCATATCAATTGAATAAATTGTAGGTTATATGGTCATTATAAATTGTATGTTTATATGCATAAATTAAAATATGTAGGTATGTATATTATGTGCCTGAGAAGATCCTTGACTACTTTAACTCGTCGAGTACCGGTTTTGTAGACACAATTATAGAACAATAGGTTGCGGTCACCGGTGACCGCTTGGTATTTGACAGTTTAACCCGTTGAAATCCACCCCCTAAATTTGGTCATACAAAAGTAGTCTCTAAACATTACAAATAAGGTCTATAATGTAATGTAATATTAGTGGAAAGCGGTCACCGGTGACCGCTTGGTGATTTATGGGTTAAACAATAATATCCAATGAATTCCTAACAAGAATGAGTGAATCTATAAATAGTACAAAGTACAAGTCCCATAGAACACATATGGGTACAATAACTATATTTTGTTATTGCCAAAAAATGTTGTGCAATAAACATTTCGTTTGCTCAGCTTTCAGCTAAGAAAGAAAGAATAAATAAGAGATAAAACTAAAACCCTTTTACATAAACAATATTACCAATAAGGCTTCAACTATCACATTTAATATTAGAAGCACAAATAAAAAAAAATGTGGGGAAGCCATAATCTGTGGGGCCATTATAGCCTCAATGCCACTTTTTTTATGAATGTTACTAACCTATCCCAACATCTTTTTTTTTTGTTTTTATTGGTACTGTGCCAGCTGCCAGCCATGGTTACAGTTAGGAGATGTGAAATATAACTAATTCAAATCAAAATTCATCCATGTTAATTAGAAAGTATGGAAGAATACAGGTTTGTTTGACATTTATTGGCTAAATGAATGGTCAATTGAGTCCAAAAGGTCGCTCACACAGTGCATATATACAAGTATTGTGCACTCCCAAGCTATAGTTATCAACACATCTATAGAAAACATTGTTTACATTGACACTGGACTTAGCTCTTACACAATACTTTAATTAAATTACTTACTTATACTTCTTCTAACCTTCTTGCTTGGAATTACTGTAATGTATAGTCACTGTAAAGAGGTTTCACACTGACCAGCATAGGTTATCAGCAAAGCGTCGTTTACGACGCACTAACTCCACAACATCCTTTGTCGGACGCGCGTGACGCACGATCAAGCCTACTCTGTCAAATAACAAATAACTAGTTGTGTAATGCACGTCCACACTCACCTTCGACCCTGAATATCTTCGATTTAATGGCAAATATGGTGTCCGTGGGCAGCACGGTCATTTCAAACGCGGTTCCCGTGAGGGTTTCCACAAGAACCTCCATCGTAGGTTGACTCGGTCCATCATCCTGGAAACCTTTGGATCTATTCGACAGTCTCTCTGGGCATCCATGTTGTGACATTTCACACGCGGTACACAACAATTGACTATCTGCACAACATCGCAATTCACAGAAATGTTTTCACAAAGTTAAGTAAGACACGGAGCACTTGAGACAATCACACGATGACGGAGTAGTTAGATTCGCAGCTACGGAAAAACATGGAACATGTTTGCAATTACTGTATGAATTACGCGAATTAAAGAAACAAAGAAATTTTTTACTAATCTATTATTATTTTGCAACAAAAATAATATTACAGTGAAATAAATTCTTCGTGACAGACGATTATTTTTTTTCTGTTGATTGATGGTGAACGGAATGAATGAAGAATGAGTCATTTATTACCATTCGGAACGTGGAAGTTTACATTGTCTATGGTTCCGCTCTTTTCTTCTTTTTCTTCCATATTTTTTTGATTGACAGCATGATTATATTTATGAATATACAAAAATATACATATATATATTCTATTCTAATATATTTAATAAAAAAAATATAGCTCCTACATTGTTACTTGATGTATTAAAAAACTTTTTTACAAAACAGCGTCTCCATGTTGTAAAAAGTGTAATTCACGAAATTATTACTGTTGGTAACATTCATTGAATGATCGGAAATCGGTCAATGTCACCATTGCTGAGTCAGTTGTCTATGATAAAAAGTTCTTTTCCATCGTTTTCTGTCCTGAGATTCGGAGGTTAGAAACATGGTGCGTAAACTTTTTCAAATTAAAATAAACTAAATAGTGCAAATAGCTAATAATCAATAATAACAAAATCTCAAGTGCTATACATAAATAATTTTCAGTGCAATGTGTAATGTTTCGGCTTATTTTGAATCTGAAACACGCGTCACTTTGTCAAATCGAGCATGTGGCCTCATGAAAGGATGATTTCTGTTTTCAGACTCGCAAACGCCGTAATGGAGGACGGGCTAAGCACGGCCGTGGCCACGTTAAGGCTGTGAGATGCACCAACTGCGCGCGTTGCGTCCCTAAGGACAAAGCAATCAAAAAGTTCGTGATCAGAAATATTGTCGAAGCGGCTGCCGTCAGGGATATCAACGAAGCTTCCGTATATGCATGTAAGTACCACATTTTGTTAACTGTATGTTTTTAAAAATTTACACTATAAGAGACTAACCTATCACCGGTTTATTTTAAGCTTTTGCCTATGTTGAGAACCCAACCTCTTCAGATCAACCTGTCGTGGTCACAGATTGTTTATAACAAAACTTTCCAGTCATAGTTTTAGTTATAAATGTGTTATTTACATTTGAAATCCTACTCCAAAAAACAGTTGCCAACAAATCTATCATTCCGTCCCATCAAGTCACTAAATAAATTAAAAAAAAAACATTGTCTCAACTTATAAATACCATCTGTACTATCTGTTATCTTGGTTAACAAGTATCCTTAGATATTAGAATGTATTTAAATTGTTAGAGATAGATTTAATATTTATGAAGTAAACATAATCTCTCTCATGAAGATCAGTTGTTAATCCTTATTTAATTATCATATTGACCACAAAACATGCTAAACATAGCGTCCCATAATGAGTTCCAAACCAGTTGGCTGGAAAAAACCTGCGTTATGCTACGTAAATGTATTCCCATACTTAAAACAAAATTCTTAATGTATTAACCAAATGTTATTTTTTTAATCCACAGCATTCCAGCTGCCGAAGCTGTATGCAAAGCTCCACTACTGTGTCTCCTGCGCCATTCACAGCAAAGTTGTGCGCAACAGGTCTAAGAAGGACAGGAGGATCCGTACTCCACCCAAGAGCACCTTCCCTAGGGACATGCAGCGCCCACAGAATGTGCAAAGGAAGTGAAGTAATTTACAATAAATTTTAAGAAAATCCCATGTTATTGTTTCATTGATGACTCGCCTTAAACCTCTTTGTTACTTTCCTAAATGCATATGTATATCAAAGCCATACATATCTTCAAAGTTTATGATAGGTAACAACAATAGAAACCTAACCAAGTCAATTCGAACAGATCAGGAAAATACATTCTTAAATTGAATAAGTTAATCGAACTTGCAACACATTGGTCATTATTGTTGCACATACAGAGACTACAATAGAATATGCACCTGACATGCAATGCTATGGTTCCATATCCAAAAAACCTATGATCTTTGTAAAGCAAAGATCATAGGATTTTTTCACTTAGGTACATGATCATCATATACCACAAAATGTTCACTGCTGAATGCAGGCCTCCCCCAATGAATTCAGGTCAACCGGGTGGCAACAGTCCACATAAATAAGTTGACACCAATATCAAATAGGGACAGGCAGAACAGACAGCATCACATTTAACTTACAAAAGCGGTACCTATGTAAAGTGTTCCATTAGAAACCAAAGGGCAATTCAGTCATCAGAAACCAATTAATTATGCAACCATGATGAAGTGCAGGAGAGAGGACTTTCTGATGTACGTTACATTAAGGGCTCTGCACCTGTGATTGCTTCAAAATCTAATTTATGCCGTTCCAGCATAATGTAAGGCCTAGGGCTCGTCTGGTGACGTCTCCACCCATGTCATGTCGCTTTTCTAAATATCTGTAGGTACTATTTTATAAAGCTGATGAGTTGGTGTATTTGAACGCGCTAATCCCGATATGGATCGAATTAAAAAATTCTTTGTATTGTATGGGCCATTTATCGATGAACAGTTTAAGCTATATACCATCACGCTACGATCAAAAGGTCGAGCAGCCAAGCAGGTGAAACGGCGCGAGATTAGTCTTTAAAAAAAAATTCATCCATCCTTTCTATTGTACTAGGTAGGTACATCATCTTCTGTGATCTCAAAATGTGCTCATGTCGGGTCATATCCAGTATATCAGTGATTCAATATTAATCTGATGATGTGTCCATTAAAAATAAATTGTAATTGATGGGTAATACAGTATTACGCACAATCTATATATATATAATTCAAAGGTGATTGACTGACTGACTGACTGACTGACTGACATAGTGATCTATCAACGCACAGCTGAACAGATTGGGCTAAAATTTGGCATACAGATAGATGTTATGACGTAGGTATCCGCTAAGAAAGGATTTTGATAATTTCCACCCCCAAGGGGGTAAAAAAGGGGATGAAAGTTTGTATGAAACTTTGTCAGTTTTTAACTGATCGGATTGAAATTTGGCATGCAGATAGATGTTATGACGTAAGCATCCGCTGTGAAAGGATTTTGATAATTTCCACCCCCAAGTGGGTAAAATAGGGGATGAAAGTTTGTATGAGACTTTGTCATTTTTTAACCGATCGGGTTGAAATTTGGCATGCAGATAGATGTTATGACGTAAGCATCTTCTAAGAAAGAATTTTGATCATTTTCACTCCCAAGAGGGTAAAATAGGGGGTGAAAGTTCGTATGGAACTTTGTCAATTATAAAACGATCTGGTTGAAATTCGGCGTGCCGATAGATATTTTGACGTAAACATCCTCTAAGAAAGGATTTTGATCATTTCCACTCCCCAAGGGGGTAAAATAGGGGTGAAAGTTTGTATGAAACTTTGTCAGTTTTACACCGATGGGGATGAAATTCGGCATGAAAGTAGATGTTATGACGTAGGCATCTCCAAGTAAGGATTTTGATCATTTCCACCTCCAATGGGATAATGTAGGGGATGAAAGTTTGTATGAGGCTTTGTCAGTTTTACACAGATCGGGTTGAAATTCGGCGTGCAGGTACTTAGATATTATGTCGTACACGTCCCTTTAGAAAGGTTTTTGAACATTTCCACCCCAAAGTGGGTAATATAGAGGGTGAAAGTTTGTGTGATACTTTGCCAGTTTTAAACCGATCGGGCTGAGACTTTGCACGCATAAAGTTACTATGACATAGGTATCTCCTTAGAAAGGATTTTGATAAATTCTACCCCTAAGGGGATAAAATAGGGAATGATAGTTTGTGTGAAATTGGGAATGAAAATTGAATCTAGAATAGAAAATTGAATCTTTTTGAATTACATTCGGTAAAACGATGATTTGGGACCTGAGTAACGTATGATAGTTTTTATCACAGAAGTCCCTCGGGAACGGGAACTATGCGTCAATGCTCCAGGACTCTCTATCTTTTAACCACTGAACTTATTTCATAGAGATTCTGTACAACAATAGTCGAAGTTTTTATTACTCAAAACTTACGTGATCGGGCCGGGACTGGTAAGAACCCTGCGGGATTTTTAATTTATTGAAATTACGATAAATCATTTCACATTAGGTAAATCTTAATTGGGCACTGAATTGATTCTGATGAATTCTGTCAGAAGTCATTAATCTACGCGGACGAAGTCGCGGGCAACAGCTAGTACTGTAATACAACTCAATACGTTGGGTGACCAGAAGTCCCATTTTGAACAGGACTGTCCTTTTTTATAATTACGAGTCCCCGAAATGAACTCTGTGACGCAAAATTGTCCCGTTTTCGGAAACCACGCGAAAATTTGACTATTCGAATCTATCGGACAACCGTTCGGACGGCTCGAGTGGTGTACGAGACCAATATTGCCGACAGAGATTGCCAGCGTCATACATAACTCGTTGACGAAGTACAGTCGAAAAATCTTTAAGTACCTACCTACATTTTTGTCCAGTTGGTAATGTTACCTTTTTTTGTAGGCACAAAAATTGTGTTTGCAGGTTCTATAATTTAGGATATAGCTATTAGATGCCTGACTGAATCTCAATATACGAATGTCCTATTTTGAGTAAAAAAAGAAATGGTCGTTAGTACATAATACTAAGAATCCACTTGATATCTCTAACATAACTTTTTCCAAACTGCAGTAAATAAAACACAAAATAAAATAATGTACCACTATACTGTCATTGATAATAAAAACACTTAAAAATGAAACTTAATGGATAGAGATAAAACTTAAATTAGGTTTCGTAATCATCATCTTCACGCTTTCGCTTTTGAGGTCCTTCATCCATCTCCATCTTGACGGATGTGTGTGCTGATGGGCCGGCTGTTACTCTCACTGCTGGCTTTGCTACAACCTGGGAAAAAACAGGAAATTTATTTAGTATAAAAAATTCTTAAAGCATCAGCAATCAGTAGCAGCGCGACAGTCAACGCGTCGTGTGTCGCGGCATGCTGCTCATGAATAAGAGCTTCTAGCATGGATTGCAACTAGTCGAGTTCCTCGTCAAATAATTACGCGAGTAATCCGAAAAATATAATAATTAAGAAATTAGTAAACTGTCAAAACCTTAAAAAACAGTGTAATCATAATTATAATGTAATCAATTGAGTAGGTAATTATATTCTATTACAAAAAATGCATTTTGAAAGGATAGTCGTTATTATTTGACTTTTGTATTGATCAGTCTTTTAGAAAATCTGTGTTAGATTTAGTATAACAACTTCAAATGAACTTTATGTTGGACATTGACTGAATATTAACTTACCTTGGTACCAGATGTGAATTTGAGGACAGGTTTAGGAACTACAGTAGGTTTGGGGGTAGCCACATTCACAATAGCACCCGGAGGTCTCTTTACCACCACATTCTGAGTGGGTGGGGGCTTGGAAGTGGTAACTGTCTTCAATGAAGGTACGGCTGAGATGGTGGGCTTGGGCGCAGCCTTCTTGACAGCTGGCTTAAGGCGGTAGTTGCAGGCAGACAGGCAATAGCTGGAATATAGAAATGTTATGTTTTTTTTTTTTATAAAACATTGATAACTTTATTAGTAAACAGATCTATTATCAAAAAGAAAAAAAACTTTAAAACTCAAAAGTGGTTTTGTTTCAGTCTCTATAAAATTGATGGTGAACTCTTGTTGCTAATTTGTTCAATTTTGAATAACTAGTAGTCCTATTTAGTAATTGACTACTTTCAATTGATGCCACATTACCATGTAAATTGAAAGTGCCCAAGGATAATAATTTACTTTAGGAGACTGTTTGACAGCCGCCATGGGACTAAGGCAAGGTAAGGTAAAGTGGTATAGCTTGGCAAAAGAGAGTTTGACTTGGTGACAACTGGAACTAATATTTACTTGAACTAAATCACCCAGTTCGGATCTTATCCCACAAATAAAGAATCGTCTGATACTTCCTCTTTTTAAGCCCGATAAAATAATAAAATCAAAACTGATTTAGTCATAGTATACCTCAATTATTCCAAATTCTTTTTGCCAAGCTGTATTTATATATGCGACCAATAGATAATAATGTGTTTATCTGATAGAAAGTAACTCACCGATCTGGCGGCAACCGCAGTCCACAGTGTGGCTTGATCATTGGCAGAGGATTAACATTCTTCACTCTCGATATCTCCAGCAACACCTCTCTCGGAGGAGGACTCGTAAACGACTTGTCCAACTGCATCTGTACTGCTAGTCGAACATCGTCTAGATCTATAGTTTTCTTCTTGGCGTGGGTAGCAAATACCCGTGCATCATCCAACACAGATGTAACATATCGGTAAGTGAACTCTAAGAGCTGGTTCACGACTCTGGGCTCATAGTCTGTAATGCCGACCTCCTTCATAATCGACATAATAACTTGAGCATCTTTGGGAATGTGTTTTGCTTGGACATTCACTTTAGATTTTTCTTTTTCCGACATTTTTGTATCTTTTGTTTGACTATACAACAGCTAATTTAATTAAGTAATGCTTAAAATTAAGATAAGTTATATTTTTTTAAGTTCATAATATTTTATGCACTATTATTTACGTTTTTTTCTATCCGCGTACAAAGAACAACCACCTCAACACACTTTTGTTTGACAACTGGCTGGGCGACATTTTGTTTTGCTTTGCATGACATCTGTCGAGTTAACTGACGTGGTATGCTGCGTTCAGAAATACTTATTTGTACTATTTCCACAGATATTAAATATGTTATGAGTCTCATGTAATAGGGGTGGGCTTATTGCCATATGCCGGGCACAGTTCCAGACTCCGTGCTACTACTGAGATTTTTTTTAAAACCCAGTAATACTTTGCCCGACCCGAGAATCGAACCCGAGACCCCTTGCCCGGCAGTCGCACTTGCGACCACTCGGCCAAGGAGGCAGTCTTCCTTTTTCAGACACATTTTTTTTGTTTACTGGGTTTTAAAAAAAATCTTAGTAGTAGCACGGAGTCTGGAATTGTGCCCGGCATATGGCAATAGGCCCACCCCCTATTACATGAGACTCATAACATAAATAGTGAAAAGTGGGTGTTACAATTTACAGTGGCATAATGTACACCTCTGCCTACCCTTTCGGGGATAAAAGGCGTGATGTTATATGAAAAAGGAATAAAACTAAAAATGCGATATTTTTCTGTGCTTGAGTTTTCATTTTTGTTTGTACATAACACAAAGTTCAACTTATACAAAATTCTCTTTACTGAAAACGAAAATTATTCGGCAGACAAAAATAAAATAGTAAGAAAATGCGTTGTGGATTTCTAACTCTTTACTCTAATGGGCATGCGCATCTCGCGGCATGCCGTGGCCCTCTAAGCCCTTCTATAACCTGGCGCCCTAGTCCGTAATCATAATTTTTATTTTTGTTCTAACACAAAAGTTCAACTTGTACAAAATCCTCTTTACTTACCGAAATCATTCGGTAGTCAATCAAAATAATAATAATTTAATAAAATATGATTGTAATTCATGACTGAGTGCCTGCCTCGTTGGCTGAGTGGTCGCAAGTGCGACTGACGGGCAAGGGGTCTCGGGTTCGATTCCGGTCGGGCAAACTATTACTGGATTTTTAAAAATTCTCAGTAGTAGCACGGAGTCTGATATGGCAATAGGCTCACCTCCTATTACATGAGAGTCATGACATAAGACATAAGATGAAGAACGAGACGCCCACGCTGGCACCGTCTGGTGGGTGGATGTGCGGTAGGCCCCAACGGTATTAAACAGCCTGGTGCTGAAAATCAGCGCCATGGACTCGAGCCTTCGTGCCCGGGCCACAGCACTAAGCTAAGCACTGGCCTTTTGCGCTTATTGTATTGTTGTCTGCATGTGTGTCGTGGCGTAATAAATGGTTTCTTTTTTCTTTCTGTCTATAACATAAATAGTGGAAAATGGGTGTTACCTCTGTGTGCACCTCTGTCTACCCCTTCGGGTATAAAAGGCGTGACGTTATGCTATGTTATATGTGTGTAATTCATTATACCTACCAAAGGATTACGCGACTTTGGATTCACGAGTATTCATAAGGTCAAATTTTCGGTCTTTTCCCATCCTAGGCATTTAACGGTTCCGTGAACTTCCGTGCAACCTTTATCAGGTCATTTGGGGTCGTTATGAGTGTCCACTCTCATACTTTTTCCGCTTGATAGAATGAGGAGAGAGATATAAGCTAAACTTCATAATTTATGGTGTAAACTTCATAATTTATGGTGGTTCCCATATCTATTAGGTACCTAGAATCACATTTTTGAACTAGTAGCAGATTTAAAGTTATTACGATATCGGGGCTACGCTACGACCTTAAGTTAGATAGCAAGTACGATTTTAATAAAAAAATAATATTTTGTTTATTCATTAAACTGAATCATGCGGGAGAGCCATGCCCCCGTCAAATGGGTCGGCTCGGCCGGAATTATAAAAATTAGCGTTATTTCGCATGAGAGTGAGGTTACCAAAGCCCCCCAAAAACGAACGAAAAGGCGCTTGGCGAAAAGCTACTCTTGTATCGCAGGTGTTAATGATTACTTACCATCATGTACACTCCTTAATCCTTACACCCATGAATATAATAAATCAAACACACTGTATATAATAACCATTTCGATTTTATTCAGTTAAAATATGAAATAACTTACGTGTACAGTAAAAATAAGTTGTTTTTAGATAGTCATTGAAGTGTTTAACTCAAGTATGTATATCGCTACAAGCCGCGCGGCTCGCGTCTCAACGTGGCGACTACCTAAACACCTTGTTTACCAAGTGTACTAAAATACATTCTAATGATTATATTATTGTAATTTGTAATAGGTACATTAACATATAAATGGACAATTTGGACGTACAGTTGTGGTTTTTATTTACTATAGTGATAAACAGAATGATCTAAGGTTACATAGCGCGGTTTCTTCACTTTCGTTCCATACATATTAAGTGTTAATATTTACACACTTTACACTACACCTAAAATATTTAATATTATTGTATACTCTCGCAAATTTATTATAATTTCTTTATTTTATTTATTTTTTTATTTTCAAAACCATCATTTATTTGTTCTCAATATTTTTGCCAAGAAGTCTTTCATTTGTCTACCATTGTCAAGGAAAACAAACTTTAATAGAATGTACAAACTCCCGTTCTCACGATTACAATCATCATAGACGTATATTGCATGGAAGTAGTTACACATACACGAGAGTGGCAAAATTGACAATAGCGACGAAAAATATATTTTATTTAACTCTTATTATCCATGAATCCTTACAACGTTATGGAACAAAAGTAAAGCAACATTTGAAACGAACGACCGACCAATGCATCATACATGAAAATGTCAAAAATAAAATCTGTTGTCCGTGATATGTTTCGAGGCGAACTAATTAAAATAATGAACAGTGACGTATGGCCGCTCACGAAGGCGAATAGAAAACGATGTATTATTGCTTTCGTACTATCAATTTTAACGATTATATAAAATGATGCGCGCATCACAAACATGTTACCGTCCTGTTCTATAGCTAATAAATTGTGCTATTTGCTGACACCATCCGTTTGACTATCATCAATCTTTATTATCCTTATTTATAATTATATCACCTAGTGAGGTTTCAAACAATAACCTACGAATCCCTCACACGTTAAGCCTTTCATGAAGAGGGAACTAATCACGTTCAGTTCGCAGCATCGTAACAAATGGCTGTCCTAGTGGAACCTATATGTATGTATGAGAGGTCTGAACTATTCCGCGACTTCATCATTAAACCCTAACGAGACGTATATGTTACTACAAAGCGAACGTTTCGAGGCAAGTATCAACGTATTTATTCACTATTCCCGCGACGTGGGAGTAACAACCTCAATACGTACCGGCGCACCCGGCTGTGTACTTGTATATCGTGTTATAACTATGTCTACGAGAACTCGATGTGTATTACGTATTTCGGTTTCAGTTCTCTCCAGCAACGTGTGAGGTGACCTATATGAGACTAATTAGGTAGAAATGTACTTAATGATCTACTCTCGTACACTCAATACAATATTATCAACAACGTAACTAGGATCTACTTACGAAAAATCTATGAACATCACAAAATCCCGAGTAACTATCAGACGATGTGTATGGCTAAGAAACAAATTATATAATACACGATCATGAATCACTCACTATTTGTTTCACAATTGCAAATTCTTACAAAGTCATTATAGTACTCGAGTACAGTAGTACATGAGTACAAGAGTACAACAGTCCAGGAGTATACCTATGGCAATAACGATGTGAATGGCACTGTACTTATAATTCGTTTGGAAATTCTTTGAGTTATTGGCAAATTGAGATACAAAAAGAAATTTGCAATAGTGATCATTTAATTATAATAATATTAAAATATAATAAAAATTAATAATTGCACAATTAAATTGAACATAATATATTACAATAAAATAGTATAAGCTCAACTCTTTATCATTAATAATTATGGATAAGTCATACACATTACATTAAAACATAAACAGAAATTCATAGATAAAATATTGCATCTTCAAACAGGGAACCACTTAAGTAATTTATCCATTAATGTATTTCATTACAAAAATATTCAAACATATCAAAGTCAGTCCATACGCAGAAAATCACCAACTTTTTGTATTTGCAATTCGCAAAAGGCACTCCTTCATGCAAATGAATTGTCCAAAGTCGTGAGACACGGATGGGGCGCGTGGAACCGAGCATTCAAACTGTTGAGCTTATCTTAGAAGCATCCCATACTGGTAAATTATAATTACAGCTTACTCTATTCATATCATAAGAAACAGGAAGAAACTACAAATAGACAAGTCAATAACGGGTTTTAAAATAATAGAAAGAAACCAGTACATAATGGAGTACAAATTACTTCAGCTACGCTACGGGTTATCTCTGTTATGCTGCCTAAGTTATATCATTCACAATGAACGAGTCAAATACTTGCCCTATAGTTTGCACTGTATCATTCCGTCGAGTATTGCACATAACATTCCACGATAAATATATACATCAGTTAGTTATTGTAACATGTAATGATCACTTGTAGCCTGATCCCGCCGCGGGCCGTGGCGGCCGCAGTATCGCTCGGAACACAATGTCACAAATGTATTGATGGGAATTGTCCTTGCACTGTGTTCCTCGATTAGATCTCGGCGGTCAGCTCTGCTGGAGCCTGGAAATATTACAATTATAAGCTGTAGTTATATTTATTTTCAAAAGTTCAGCTGACGTCACAACTTATTAAAGGTCCGGAAGTCGGGATATGGGGATGTTACGACTCCGTTATTTGCAATGCATTTGACTTCAAAAGATTAGTATAAATTATCATTTAGCTATGATTTGTAAGTGGTTCTTAAAAAATCTCTATGAGAAAGATATTATTAGAAAGACAGTATGCAATGGTCGGGCAAGTAGTGGCGGCAGTACCTATGTGGTGAGCGCGGGCTGCGCGAGGTCGGGCGGCGCGGCGAGCGCGGCGGGCGGCGGCGGCGCGGAGTACTCCACCACCTCCTGGTAGATGAGCTGCTTCCACTGCTCCACCGTGTGCTCGCGCTCGTCCACCGAGTGGTCGTACGAC